GGGGGGGGGCATGCGGGAAAGGGCCGCGGGTCGGACAAGGGCCAGTCGCTCTCAGCCGCATGGCTGTGATGTGGTCGCCTGCTCAACACACTGAGCTAAACCTGCACCCTGACTTTGGTCTTTATTGACATGACTTGATCACATAGCTGCTGCTGATCTGTCGGCTGCACATCCATGATCCCTGAATCTTCTTGTTCCACCACATCCCAAAAGCGCTCTACTGGTCTGAGATCTGGTGTCTGTGGAGGCCATTTGAGTAGAGTGAACTCATTGTCATGTTCAAGAAACCAGTTTGAGATTATTTGAACTCTGACACATGCCTCACTATTTTGTTGGAAGCAGCCATCAGAAGATGACTACACACGTGGTCATAAAAGGATGGACATGGTGGACAGCAATCCTCAGGCAGGCTGTGCTATTTAAACAATGCTCAGTTGCTACTAAGGTGTGCAAGGTGTGCCAGTAAAATATCCCCCACATAATTATACCACCAACAGCCTGAACCACTGATACAAGGCAGGATGGATTCATGTCTTCATGTTGTTTACAATCCAATCCAAAGAAATGAAGAGACGTTTTTCTGTGTGGGCTCAGTTTTACTAACAGGAGCAGGACCTGGTGGGTGTGGTCTGCTGCTACTGTAACCCATCAGCTTGAATGTGTTGCGTGTTCAAAGATGCTCTTTTGTGTAATTTGCTCGTAACAAGCGGTTATTGGACTCACCGTAGCCTTCCTCTGACCTCCAGCATCAACACAGCATTTTCACCCAGAGAGCTGCAGCTCATTGGATGTTTTGCATGAAAATCCCAGCAGATCAGCAGTTTCTGAAAGATCACCCTGTCTGGCACCAATAACCATGTCAAGCCATTTAAATCACCTTTCTTCCCCATTCTGGTGCTCAGTTTGAATGTGAGCAGGTCATGTGGACCATATCTACATGCCTAAAGGCAAAGAGTTACTGGTGGGCTGATAAGATCTTTGCATTAGCGAACAGTTGAACAGGTGGACCAGATAAAGAAGATTGCATTATATAAACACAAGCATGCAGACTATGGGTGAACAATAGTTTGTAGAAAGCAAATGTTCCCCGATAACCCAAAGTTTCCATCGTTTCATTTTTTGTTCTCTATCATGTGTCTAAAGTATTTGGCGCCAGAGATTCTTCGTAAGGAACCGTATGACAGGACAGTGGACTGGTGGTGTCTGGGAGCCGTGCTGTATGAGATGCTCTTCAGCCTGGTATGTGTATTTGTTTAGGGTTTATGGATTATGAGTTTTGGCAGTACTGTACCGTTGTTAATTTTTTACCACGAAGTAGTCTTACGCAAAAGTAAGACACATTATTTTGGTGGTACTCACAGAAAAACTAGAGCGTAGGTAAAAGCCTATATGTGGATCCAAATTTGACCTCAGTTTTTATTAGACCTTGTCGTAAATGGTCAAAGAAAGGTTTTGGACAAGGTGTGTTTTGTTAAACATCTTAAAGACACAGACTGATTGAATTTTGAGTTACATTTTATGAGGAATTCTTTTCCCTTTGTCATTTACTGGGCACGCAGGCACGATGACTTCCTGGTAGAAACTAACTTTTTTTTTTTCCGTTTCCCTTAAAAAGAAACCGAGGATAACTTGATATGTTACATATGAATGATATTTATTGCATCCCTTCTGTTCAGCCTCCTTTCTACAGCCGTGATATTGGTGAAATGTACGATGGGATCCTTCACAAGCCGCTGATGCTGCCTCCGGGAAAGTCTGAGGCCGCCTGCTCTCTGCTGGTGGGTCTTCTCCAGAAAGACCAGCACAGACGCCTGGGAGCCATCGCAGACTTTGTAAGTCTTTCGGTCTTTGCTCCATATTAAACCAGATGCTTTCCCAGACAGGATATAAGCCTAGTCTTAGAATATGGATAACTGCAATAAATGTTGGCGCAAATAAAAGCTGGGTGTAGTCTTTATTTAAGAGTTTTGGATTTCTTTTAAAGAGAGCTCCACACCCAAGCCCTCTGATAACATTTACCTTGCATGTAGCAGCTATTGGCGTTGTTCTACATGATTCACTATATGTGTGATTTTGTTTTTATGAAAGGCATGAAAGAGTTAAGTATGTGAAGTTTTTTCTTTCTTTTATTTATAGTTAGAAATAAAGAACCACACCTTTTTCACTCCGATCAACTGGGATGACCTTTACCACAAGAGAATCACCCCTCCTTACAACCCTAATGTGGTGAGTTGCTGCTACGCCTGCTCGTGTCTTTTCTGTGTGCCTGCCTCGTCATATGTGACTTTATTAACCACTTATCTCCACCTTAGCTGGTGTTCTGTTTTCTTTCCACCACAAATGTTTCAGAGCGATCAGCCAGTAAAACCCTCTCAGATCTGTCCCTGAATCTCTTTATCCCATCTTATCTAGCTAAAGATTAATGCAAGGAAATCCCTTTGACCTTTTGAACTCTTAGTCATTATGTAGTTGAAACTCTTTTACTTGTTGCAAAGACTGGTGTGGCTTTGCTTCTCAATCACTTTACATATGAAATAGAAATGTGTTATACTTTATATCTTTAATGAAAATAAGGATCATTTATTGTGCTTCTAGGCTTTTTCAGTATATTGATGTCAACGAGTAAGCTGATCTGAATTTACTCACATGCATCATTTAATCTTTTACTATTTAAACTTGGTTTTAACACCAGCTTTAAGAAGTTTCTCTAGATCAGTGTTCACTAGTTAGACTTAAGTTAGACAAATGGGCATGTGCATCGCGGTATATTAGTTTTACATTTAGGACACCTTGTCATGCGTTGTATATAATGCATATAATAGCAGTGTTGGGAAGCATTCATGTAACAAAGTGTTTTGCAGGTTACCTCTGTGGTGGCCATCTTGTTTTCCCAGTAAAGAGGAGGCCTGCCTCAATTGCAGCTCTTTTATAGGCCAGTCTGTATTAAGAAGGCGTGTCTTTAGAGTATTTAAAGGAAGCAGGAAATGGATTGGGAGTCACTTTGAGAAGTTGCTGTCTGTATGCGCATGATGTTGGCAAGAGACAATAAAACAATTACTTTAATTAAGATAGAGTGAAGTCTGATGTTTCCCTCACCGCCCCTCACTGCGTAACAAGCAGTCATCCTTATTTACACATAAAATTGTTTCATCTTTCAGAGGGGCCCAGCTGACACTCAACATATTGATCCTGAGTTCACCAGAGAAATGGTTCCTAACTCAGTGAGTCAGACCCCAGACTTCAATCCCAGCACCAGCTCCAGCAACGCCTTTACTGGGTTCTCCTTTGTCGGCACCGAGGACAGCTTTCTGTGACATCCGGACAGATGAATCGCAGCTAACTGTTTAAATGATTTTTTAGCGCAGAAATCTTGTTCATTATTTTTAAAAGTTTTCTCACAAAGATAAGTGTTC